AGAACAAATATATATTTTCTTAAAAATTAGTTCTTCTCCTCCACCTTCATAATTAGTACTACTATTTTTTATTTTTTATTAAGTTTCAGAAATTATACCTCCTCTTTGGTTGACATTGCAAAACCTTTTGTCACTTTCTTTTGGGCTAAAATTAAAACAAAAAAGTTTTGTATATTGTCCAAGTTGCCCGAGCTTAATTTCATGCCAATTAGCTTTCATCATTACTCTATTTTATCCATATGCAAATAGAACTATGATATATTTGGAACTAATTTATTTTTCTGTTATTAATGGTTGGAATTGTTTGATTCAAAAATTGTTTAACACTTTTTAAGCAAATCAATCAATATAGATGAAGGGGTAAATCGTAGTTGAAGATAATAAACCCTAGGATGATCTTGGGTATTAGATCAGACAGCAATAATACAAATCGGAGGCATAAAAGTAGGTGATAATCTTCGAGAAATAAGAGAGAGATAATGCTAGAGAGATAAGAGAGATAATGCTAGAGAGATAGTGTATTTCCAACAATGAATCCCCCCCTTTACAAGGCTTGGACCCCTCTTTATATAATAGAGGATCCTTACTTGAATATTAAAAGACAGAAAATAAAGTACATGCTATAGAGGGGCCGACGTGATCATGAAGTCGTCCCTCTTGTTATTCCTAGGTCGGCCTTCTAGCCGGACTCTCATATATTCGGTCGGTCGTGCTGACTTAAGGACGTGGTCGGTCAAATTCGACCCCATATAGGAATAGCAACATATTACATATTGTTGTTGCAACTGTACCTTGCATCAATTAGGTGCAGAGAAAATCAATCAAGGGCCCTCCCATCTTCTATATTTATCCCCTTTTACTATTCACGGGTAACGTCCATCCACTAAAATTTTCAAAATTAAATTAACTTTTCATTCTCTATATTTGTTTAAAAGGAAATACCTCCAGAAATATCAAAAGTATCTGCAATGTTTTTTTTTTTAAACTCTTTTTTTTTTTTTAAAAAAAAAAAAAAAGTCCACCGTGGTGGATATTAGGGTTTAGGCATATATCCCAACCTGTATATTATCAAAAAGAACTAGTACACGGAGGAGGACATAGATCATAGCCTCCAAAACAAGACGAGGACGGATATATATCATCCTTATGTACAAATAGTCATTAAAGATCTGCCTAAGTTGGGAGATGTGTACTCCATTACAATTTGACACTTAGACTTCACAAAAGGATGATGTACACATAGTTAGCACCACTATACACTGCTCAAAACTAGGTACTGTCAGCATCATTAATTAATAATAAATTGATTCTTCTTAGGCTTAACTCTGAAAGAAGGGATGCCATCTTGGTCCAGTTTCAATAAAGACCTCACTGTATTCTATAAGGAATTAGTGTCATCCATTATAATCAGACCTTTTGTTGTGTCTCCCATATTTGTGAGTTGATCGGCCACCATATTGTCCTCTCTGAAAGTGTGAACAAAAACAAAATTACTTTTGCTAGAGAGTTGAACAATCTGACTAATGATATGATGAATATTTGTTGTTAATCATGTTGAAAATCAATCTGCTAATACACAAAATCAATCCATGTAACAAAGCTTTAACCTCAGCCAAATTGTTACTACATGGTCTATAATACTGTACATAGGTGGTTTGGTTCGGATTTTGCAATTACCAAACCAAACTAATTGTGTCGGATTATTAAATCTAAAGACCAAACCAAACCAATAAAACTCGGGTTTTTCAATCTCGGTTTTTCTCGGGTTTTCGGGTCTTTCGGATTTTTTTCCGGTAAAATCTTTGTAGCACAAAACATATCACTTGTGCTCAAATATTTCTTTAATCCTAGTAAAATACAACTATATAAGGTATTTTTCAAGAAAATAATACAAAATATGAGATGTGTCATAACATTATCCTAAAATATTCAACAATAAAGACAATAAAATTATGTAATATAAATATTGCTAATTAAAAAGCCATAATAAAAATAAACATAATCTGAAAGTACTAAGACATGCTAAAATAAGTAGAGTAATAAGGGACTGTTATTGCATGACTAAACGTTAAAGAAAAAATAAAAAAAGATTATGCATTTTTATCTAAATTATTGCAAAATAAAAAATAGATATTCAATACATTGCCGTTCGTAGTATTGAATTGAATGTCTTTTGTTAGCATTAGTAGTGATTTGATTTTGGTTTGAGCTTTTGTTAGCATTATTTAAGTTACTAATATTAATGGCTATAAAACTTATTGCAACATTCAAAAGTTCTAAGTCCAACCTTGAAATAATACCTTAAGAGATAAAATTATGAAAAAGTTTAAGAAATATTTATAAATTAATCACAATAAGTATATTTATATATTAAATATATCTAAAATTTCTATATATGTAATGTCGGGTTAGTTTGGTTTCGGTTTGACTTTCTTTAGTTAAAACCAAACCAAACCAAGTATGGTCGGATTTTTTTCTCCAACACCAAACCATAGTCGGGTTTTTTTTCTCGGTTTAACTCGGATTATCGGGTTGGTGCGGTTTGTTCACGTTTCCATAATTTACTCAAGTTTCCATATAACTCGGCATTCACGTTACATTCTCTAAAGTATTAGGTCTAGGAAGCGAAAAGACTTAAGTACTTTTATTGTTTCTTTTTTGTTTTTCAATTGCATAGACTTTTGTTTATGTTCAGACGTGACGAAGCTTGTGGTTGACTAGCTGGCATTTTATATTTAAAAAATATACTATTCCAATTTATATCCATTACATGAGAGACTTCCCCCTATACTACCAGGGACATTCACAATAGGAGATTTTAGCCACCATATATAATATAGCTAGACGACTTTTCAATCTTATTTCTGAATTATGTGATACCTTTTTTACGAATAGTATTTTGTTTATTCCATCAGAAAATTGAGAACAATTATCATCGATTCAAACTATGAGCTATTAAAACATTCGTCTAAAGGTTAACGATGAAGGTAATCGATACCACCCGCAAACTCTATGCTAGCTCCTGCCCTACCCCTGGATCGGAGTACTAAGGAGACTTCGCTTCAATAGACAGATAATTATGAATCACATGAATATTCTACCACGACTTCGTAATCTTATTATTACTGAATGACGTGATCATTTATATAGTTACTATATTGACAATTTCGTCATATTATATTGTAGTTAGTCCAATGGTTAAAAAGTCACGATAAAGGTATTGGGAGACCAAGAGACACTAAAATAACCAAATAACCAACTACCAAAACTTAAAATTTCTGTTGTACCCAAGTCACCAAATCAAAAGATATAACGTACGAGGAAATAGAAAAACCTAGTTGGATCAGCCCTTTATAAGTAATGGAGTATAATTGGCAATTCTTAGTAGTAGGAGTAATAGACAACGGCAGATTTGTTGAGATTGTGGACTTTAATATATACTTACGTCTGTCGTATTTTTTCTAGCTTCAGAAGTTAGCACTCTTTTATAATATACTTCGTTTTCAACCAAATAAAAAGAAAAGAAGTGTGCACTCCTATACGATGAAAGAAATTTCAAATACTTATACAACTGTTTTAAGAAGAGGCAAAGTACGAAAAACATTTTAATATTTTTTAATGTTTTGTAGGGCATCTTCTCAGAGCTGTATTAGTCTGGCACAAATGACTTTATTTAGTTGTTTCTCACTGGGTATTTGTTTGTCCGAGATTCTACAGTTTTGGCCTTAGCTTATACAGGAGTTGCGCACATTATTCATATATTTTTTTTTGTTGCTAAATCACATGATTCATATTACGGAAAGGAGAATGAGGAAAAGGGGTAACTCACCATCTGATAATTCAGTTTCCGCTTCAAAAAATTAATAAGATAAACGACGATTTGGCGCACGAACTATTTCACGTTCACTCAAGGTATGTGGAAAGGCTGTACCCAAGGAGGTACGATGTACACAATATATTCTGACGATAACATCAATGGTTGATTCCACGACTCAAATCAAAATATTATAAATCACACTATGGGTGGCAAACAGATGGATTAGGTCGGATATGGGCGGGTCGAAAAAAATAATGCAAAAACGGATAAATTATCCGATCCAAACCATATTTAATACGGATAAAAAATTGGGTTAACCGGCGGATTATATGGATATCCATGTCTTCTTAAATATGATCACATTCAGGAGATTTCCTAGTCTACTAAGCTTGAGGAACCCCCAATTTTAGGCTTTACAAATATAAATGTTAAACCCATGAGTTATCCATTTTCTAAGTGGATAATATAAATCTTATCCACATTTGACCCGTTTTAAAAAAATTCATTATTCGACCATTTTTTAATATATAATATGAATAAATAACTATTTTTGTAAACCACTTTGCCACCACTAAATCACACAAAAAATAACTTAATAAAAAGGACCAAAAAGAGAATGAATAAAAAGGGAGTAGGCAGGAGAGTTGTGATGAGTAGTAGTCATGTGGTTTGACAAAGTCATCCGCGCGTAAAGACTCAAAGAGTATGGACAACCAAAACGTGATATTGCTGGGATAGTGCATCAACATATGCGGATCCAAGAATTAAATTTTATAGGTTCAATTTTTAAGGTTTCAGCATTGAATCCATTATATTTTTAAAGTTATAAGTTCATATCTACTTTTTTTTATAATTTTAAGGAATTTTTACACATAAATTTTTACTCCTCGTGGAAAGTTATGGGTTCAATTGAACCCGTCGTCAACACTCTGCATCCGCCTCTGTGCATCAAATAATAGTTGTTGGTGATATGATATTTGAATTTGAGGGTTTAATTACACAAGTGGAGATGGTGGATAAGATCATATAATATACACTGATTTATTGACGTGTATGGACGTAGGATTTGATATGTACAATATAATTGCCCCTCCCCTCCCCTCCTCACCACCACCCCACCAAACCCCTTTATTAAACACCCTTAGTCTAGTCTTTGTTGCTTATATATATGTGTGCTTTGCAACATAAATTTCCACATCAAGAAAAGAGAGTATTACTAGTAATTCTTTTAATTTCCATCTAGCAACTAGTTCAAATTCTTACCTTTTGTTCAAGTGTCGAATTAACATAAAATTTAGAATGGGGAGAGAGATAGTGAAAAGTGAGTTGGCTGAAGAGACAACCTTCAACTGGTCATCAGATTCATCATCAACAACATCCTCTTCATCTGATGATGAAAAGAGGATGCCTTTGTTGGCATTGAACCATGTTTCCTATGTCTGCAAATCTGTTGCTAGATCTGCCCAATTCTATGAGCAAGTTCTTGGTTTTGTCCTCATCAAAAGACCCTCTTCCTTTGACTTTGATGGAGCTTGGTATGAATAAACACACACATATCTCTCTTTAATTAATTTGTTTTTTTTTACATGCATTTGCCCTAAGATTTTTGAAAACTGACGTCGTCCTAAGCTTCCGTTATGCACGAGATCCAGTAAATGGTCAAACTATATTTTTACAACTTAAACTATGACCTCCTGGTTATATTGTTACGCCAAAGATCCTCTTCTAAGATTCGAAAATTAGAATAACGATAACAAATCTGACAATTTGGGTTGATTTTTCAGGTTGTTCAACCACGGAATTGGAATACATTTGCTAGGAAAAGAAGATGCACAGTCAAAGAAGGGAAAGATAAATCCAAAAGACAATCACATTTCATTCCAATGTTCGGATATGGATCTCATAATTGAAAGATTGAATGAGATGAAGATTGAGTATGTAACAGCAACTGTAAAAGAAGGTGGAGTCACTGTGGATCAACTCTTCTTTCATGATCCAGATGGCAACATGATTGAGATCTGTAATTGTCAAAATATTCCAATTCTTCCACTTTCCTCTTGTCCTCTCAAGAAGTTTGCAACTCCAACCTTCAACCAAACAACGCCTAATTCGTTTTACGGTATGTACATTACCTATAGTAATTCAAAAAACTTTAGTTTTAAAACAAGCACAAAAAATGACACAACATTTTTTAACAAAATTAGTACCATAATTTACACGTCGCAAAGATCCGTCCTTACAAAGTTAGTAGTAATATATATACTGTCGGTATATAGAAGTTAAACTAGATTGGTAATCCAACTTTACTAGTAGTGGGATGAATTATATATTTGCCTTCCGAATATGATTTGACTGCAAATAGTAAAAAGTTAAAAAAAAAAACATCAATTAGATTCGAATAATAGAGACTGAATTCTAATTGATTTAATTGATAATGCAGAAAATGGAAGCAGAGGTGCAAATATGAACTGCTCAGGAGAAGTGGAATCTCTGATGATGGAAAATTTAGCTTTGGACATGATAGATATTTGTTTTTGAGTGATATTGTCGGCAAAAAGAGTGATTTTACACCTCATAAATTTAGACCCCTTTTTCAACAACCCAAACATACCGTAAAAATCCTTTTTGTAATATTATTATTTATGTACCAGTATGTGTGGAGAGAACATTAAGCACATACATATAATATTTGTACTCTAGGATTTTGATTATGTTAATGTATGATTCTGGCTGTTCATATCAAGAAATAAATGAAGGATAGCATGTTATGTGTTCTAAGGAAGTCAACTCTTCTTATTAATTGCATTGTTATTATTTCCTTTACAACAAGCTATCAATTTTTTTAAAATAGTTTAATTTATTAAAAGTAGCATTAGTGGTTTATAGTAATCCATAGGTTTCAATTATATTTGTGTTTGATCAGGTATGGAAAAAATAAGTTCGAGATAAGTAAGTTAAATGTAAAATATAGCAAAAGTAAGTTCAGTATCTTATGCTTTTCAGCATCTTATTATTTTTAAGAAATGCATTATGCATACAATTAAGTGAAAAATGTGAATATGAAAAACTAAAAAGTTTGCTAATAAAAAGCCGTATTCCTTAGTATTTTGTTTTGTTTTGGAATAGCGATTGAACATAAGAATTACTATTATGCAATCCCTAAGTATTGTAAATTCTATTTTATTTTCATAAAATAGAGCTATTCCCTCTGTTTCAGTTTATGTGAACCTATTTTTCTTTTTAGTCCATTCAAAAAAGAATGATTCCTTTTTAAATTTAGTAACAATTTAGCTTAAACTTACAATTCTACTCTTAATGAGAAGCTTTTATAACTACGCAAATGTTCTGGGCTCCTTTTTGACTTGTTTAGGACTACATATTCCAAAAATCTTTATTTTTTTTTAAACTCCGTGCTCAGTCAAATAGCTTCACATAAATTGGAACGGAGGAGTAATATCTGCAATCAAAACGAAAAACGAAGACATTTGACACTTTCGTTCCGACCCTAGCAACTCGAGGATTTGGCCAACTCTAATAGATATGATTTGCTTAATAAAGCTCTAAATGAGCGCTCCCACTGGCCCACACCGTTGGTTATTAATTTATTACCCTTTTGACCACATTTAAGCAGGAAAACCTCTTTTTTGGCTACATTGATTAATTGCGAAAACTAATGTTTAGAACCAGCGATCGATCTCATGTCACAATAATTAAGTTTGGTTAACGTAATTTAATAAAAGTCTGCGCGATCACTGAAGCAGGTAACTTGCAGCCGTCTTTCATATAAAACAACTGTACGTAGTATATAATACACTCAACTATCTCGTCTAGCAAATAAATATATACGGAGAAAATAAACAGTAAGGGGTCGTTTGGTTGCCGGTTAGAGTTATGCAAGTATTAGTTATACATGTATTAGTTATGTAGGGATAAGTTATGCAGGGATAAGTAATGCAGGGATTAGTTATGCAGGTATTAGTTATGCAGAGATTATTTTTTTGAATATTTGGTTTGTTGTATTAGAAATTGATATACATTACATAAATTTTAAAGTAAAATGCTTGTTTACAACTATACCCCTGGCCTTCTTTTGCATTGTTTTTTCTCTCTTTCCATTTATGTAGGAAACAATTTAGTTAGGAACTTTGGGTGTTACTTTCACTTCTTCGTCATACTACTGAACTATGTGAAGTTTAGACATATTTGATTTTCACTTTTTAGTTTTGGTATTTCCATTTTCTAGTGGCTTCTCCAGTTTGCTTTTGCTAGTTTGTTCTTTAAAAATGAGAGAAGACAAGGTATATAGTTGGCAAGTGAAAGCAAGTGAAACCTGTTGACGGGTTGGCAGAGAAATAAGGAAGCCTTATGTGTAAAGTGATAGGGGTAAATTTGTCATTTCAGTATTTTATCCATGTATTACTAATACATGTATTAGTTATTCCATCTTCTACCCCGCATAAAATAATACACAGATTGACTCATAACTTATACATGTATTATTTATGCATAATTGAAAAATGTCAACCAAACATGGTATTAGTTATGCAGAATTTTATACAAAATAACTATTGCCTACCAAACATGGTATAAGTTATGTTACCCCTTATACATGAATAACCTTTCTTCTAACCAGCTACCAAACGACCTCTAAGGATTATACTTAATACTTATCATTCACTTAATACCAATGTGTACATTAAGTAAAACTATGTTGAAAACCAAGATAATTCATTAAGCAAAGTAATATTTACGCATTTTGTAACTAAAATAAGAGAAAGCGGGTCGGGTCATGGAGCGAGTTGAGTCACGGTTTAAATGGATAGTTTTTTTCTTTTTCAAATGATTGAGTTAAATAGAAATACGAAAAATAATATTTAATATGCCCTAAAAGTATTGAGTATCTTTTGAGTTATAACGCGCAAAGTATAATTAACTTTTTGATTACAAACAAAGTAAAGTAACTGTCATAAATAGTTTCCATATTAGTTCAGTGGACTTTGGAAATAGACTCAAGAAGAAAGCTAGAAAGTGAGAATTTAGGTTTGAAAAAAATAGACCGAATGCCAAGACACTCTTAAGTAGAAAATAAAATAAAATTTAGGAATAGAAATTTAGATAAGTAAGTGAATGTTGCAACTATATTTTTCAATTTTCCATAACTTTCATATTAGATGTCACAACACAAACAGAGATAAATCTCTAGCTATCAAAAACTAATCCGTTGAATTTTGATGCCCCTGGGATGGAGCCAGAAGCTTGTGTATGGACTCGACTAAACTCAATAGTTATTGCATAAATAATAATTTTATATTAGAAATTGTATTAAATATAAAATTAATTATTAGTGGTTAAATTCGTTATATTTAAAATTCAGAGTCATTAAAATTCTAGCTCCGTGTAGCCCTTTGCAGTGGCGTAGCAAGGAGTTCCATTAAGGGCGTTCAAATTTTAAACACGTCAATATTTTTTTTTTTTGCCGATAAATGGTACCAAAATTTTTAGATTAAACTACACAATATTTAGATAAATATTAAAATACTTCTAATAGAATTATAATGTTATTAATCAAAACTAAAATTACAAAAAGAGAACATTAGAAATTTTACCAATAAAAGTAAGCATAAAACTAACAAAAAAAAAAAAAAGAGAGAGAGCCCCGAGAGGATTTGTAATTGTAGAAAGCTTTAGTTGAAGAAATTTTTACACAGCTTGACTTTTATATTATAGAATTTATAATTAAGATTAGTTACTTATTTTCACAAAGTTTAAGTTTTAAGAGTTATTTTATTATATAATATTTTAGATTGAGAAAAATCAAAAGACCAGACATGATGATCTCCGTTTAATTAGTTTTGATAAATAAAATGCGCAAAATTTTGAACCCGTGAACAATACATCAGTTTGAACACTTTAAACCGTTGAACTGCCTCACTCAACTATTTTAAAGATGTTCAAAATATAATATGTAGTCATATAAAATATACTCCATCTGTTTCAATTTAAATGACACACTTTCGTTATTAGTCTGTTCAAATAAGAATAACACATTTATATATTTAGAAACAATTCAACTTTAAACTTTTTATTTTACCATTTTATCCTTAATAAGAAGTTTTTATAGTCACACTAATATCATGGCCCCACAAAACTTCTGTCTCTTAAGCTTTTGAAATCACAATTCAAAAGTCTTTATTTTTCTTAAAATTTGTGCTAAGTCAAACTAAATCATCTAAATTAATATTTAATTTATATACGTAATACTATAATTTTTCTACCATAGGGTGTGCGTAGGGCTGACAAAATGGTTAAAAGAAAACAGTTAACCACCCATATTTTTACTAAATAATGGGTTGGATAATGAACGTTTTAAAAATGGGTTAAATATGGATAAGAACCATATTATCCATTTAGAAAATGGATAATTAATAGGTAAGTGGTAACCAATGGATAACCAATGGGTCTAGCTTTTATATTTGTGAAGCCTCAAATTGGGGGTTCCTCAAGTTAGGGAGACTAAGAATTCTTCCAAAAGTGATCATGTGCAAGAAGTCATGGATAATATGGTTACCCATATTATCTTCCGGTTAACCTATTTTTTTATCCGTATTAAATATGGATCGAATCGAATAATTTATCCATTTTTTCATTATCCATTTTTGATCCGAATCATATCCGACCCGACCTATCAGTTGGCCGCTCCTGCGTGTGCGCTTGACCCTCGGGTGGCTATGCCGCTGCTATCTTTCGTGTTTCACGTTTTACTTTGTTTTTCCGACAAGTGTTGTGAAACAGTACGAGAAGGACCCACCACGTGATTCATTAACTTGATATGATCGTACATTTTAACAGCTCATATATATTCATAGTGCAAGACAAGGACGTTTTTTGCTTTGTTATTTTGTCGCCATTAAAGTTAAGGGTCAAAATGAAAGGAGTTCTATTTTGGAATCTTCTGGATTTGAAGTGAAGACACCAGAAACGAACTGTCTAGAAGAACATGTTAGATTTAGTGAATAATGGTATAATGAATGAATAGCCAGTATATATATCACTTGTAAAAGAAAGATAAGTGCTTTGCATCATACATGCAATGAGTAACAAGTGTCCCAACAACGACTTAAAATGAGGAATACAAATTTACGCATTATAGAACGGAAAATAATGAGTGGAGATTTGAACTAAACAATTAATCATATCTCAAATCGTTATTTTCATTTATTATTTGTTTGTTTTTCTATGACTAGTATAATTACCAAATTAACCTAACAAAAAATTTCTTTTATTTATAATTACTATGTTTAATTTTACCTAATTGAAAGAAGAAAAAAAAAGTATTTAATCTTCGATAAGTTTTCTTATGGCTCAAATAGTCAAATGTAGATTGCCCAAATTGGGAAAATACTTTTAGGGCTAACTTAAGCTATGCCCAAATTGATCAATCATACAAACAACAACATACCCAATATAGTCCTACATGTGAGGTCTGGAAGAATAGTGTGTATGCAGATCTTATTCCACCTCGAGAGGTAGAGATGTTATTTCCGATAGACCCTCGGCTCAAGTAAAAATAAAAAGGGAGAAAAGGGAACAAGAAGAAGAAGAACGAAAGAAGAGGACGACAAAAGACGATAAGGAAAAAGGCGAAAAAACGAGAAATCAAAAAAAGAAAAAGTAACATCAAATAGTAACAATGAGGAAAATAAGATACATGTAGTGAACGAAGCAATAGGCAACTACTAGAGGTCAAAGAATACGAAAAAATAAGAGCGCTACTAATACTACTAGTAGAGAACAGGGAACTCTCAAATACCTACTAGCCTTTTACCCTAATCATCGACCTCCACACTCTTCTATCTTAGGTCATGTCTGTAGACATTTAAAATTTTATTAAATTTGAATCCACAAGTAATTTGGATTTTTTTTTAGTCGAAATGGAATATATTACAAGCTAAGATATTGTTGTTACACTAGAGCTACGTGGTACCGTTGGGTACCTAGTTCGGCAATATTGTGCAGTATAGTATCAACAATATTACAACCCAAAAATAATCTAGGCAATTCAGTTCCTAGGGTGTCTACCCACACTATATCATTGACAAACACCGGAGGAACTGCCAAAACTACAGATCTGTTCCAAAATGTTTTTTTTACTGCTTCCTTTGCCAGTGCATCAGCAACTCTATTTTGCTCCCTGAACGCGTGTCTTACCACCACCCTGCCCATCCTTTGAATCAACAACCTGCATTCACAAATTAGAGGGTCAAATATCAAATTACCTTCTGTTAACATGCCAATTATTTCTACAGAATCTGTGTCTATATGTAGTGGTAGAAGGTTGTTTTGCTCTGCGAGCTGGAGTCCTTTTATGAGTGCTCGAAATTCAGCTTCTAGAATGGATGTATAAGGGATGTTTTCCATGTAACCCAGTATCCAGTCACCATTGTGGTTTCTAAAGATCCCCCCTATTCCACCTATTCCACCTATTCCAACTTTGCCTTTGACTGCACCATCTGTATTTAGTTTGAAGCAACCCCTGGGTGGGGGTTCCCATTTGAGCATCATTTGGTGTGTACATGTATTGTTGCTGCTCCCTTTGAGCAGTTGGAATTCAGTGGCTTTGGCAATAGTGTTCTTAGCATTGATAAGCTCTCTTTTATTGTTGAACACATTGTTGTCCTTGTTAGCCAAATGTGCCAGAGGCAGAAGGGAATGAGAACTGCCCAGTGCAGGTGTTCATTAAAATTTCCTCCTTTGGTGGCTGGCCATACTGTCTGCCAGAGGTGGGTGCTGTTTAGTGGGTTTGTAGGAGGAGGGGATGTAGATTTGGACCTGATGGCATTCCAAAATTGGGCAGCATTTGGGCAGACGAAGAAGATGTGATCAATATCCTCTTGCCCAGCATTACAGTACTGGCATAGAGTTGGACAATTGATTCCCATAGAGCTGAGCATAGTTCTGGTAGGGAGTCTCCTGTGGGTTAGGGACCAGATGAAGAACTTTATCTTGTTAGGGACTTGTAGCTTCCACAGCCACTTGAAGTTTCCCAAAATCCCCTGGAGGGCTCAGTTGAGCACTGTTGTGACTGAATGAGTAGGCTGAGTTTTGAGAGAACTTCCCATTTGGAGTTAGAGCCCAGATTAGTGTATCTTCCTTAGTTGTAACACTAGGGATAAACACTGAAGTGATGATGTTAAGGATGTGGGGTGGGAGATCAAAGGAGAGGGAGCTTGTGTCCCAAGCTCCTCCATTATGGATTGAGTTCACCTTGGCCAGAAGGTCCCTATTTGTTAGGGGTCCCTCAATTAGATGTCTAATAGCAGGTTGGTTGGGGATCCATGGATCATTGAAGAAGCTCACCCTATTGCCCTTATTCACAATCCATCTACTGGCCTTGCTGCAAGTTTCCCAACCACTTAGCATGCCCCTCCAAGTGGGTGACTTGTTACTGACATGGTGCCTCCCAGCATTGGCAGGCCTATGCAAGTTACAGTTCTTGTGGATAAGGGCTCTAGCCCAGAGGCTGTTTGTATTAGTGTAGGCTCTCCATGCCAGACTAGCTAATGCAGCTTTGTTTTTTAAACTAGCTTTTTGGATCCCTAGCCCCCCTGAGCCTTGGTTTTAGTCACTACCTCCCACTTAATCATGTGCATTTTCTTTTTTTCTTGAGTGGTTTCCCAGAGGAAGTTCCTCTGAATCCTATCAATCTGGTTGGTTATCTTAGTGGGGATAGCTATAAACTGCATGACATGACTTGGGATGCTACTTAGAGTGGCTTTTATCAGAACAGTTCTACTGGCCATGTTGAGTAGTTTGGTTTTCCAGCCTGCTAACTTGTTATGCATGTTATCAATGATGAACTGGAAATCAAAGGCAGTTTTCCTTTTATTTAGGATTGGGAAGCCTAGGTATTTTCCAAAGGATGAGGAGTGGTTGATAGACAGTGTATTAGACAGCTGCTGGGCAATGTCTTGTGGGGTGTTTGAGGAAAATATGACCTTAGACTTAGCCAGATTGATTTTTTGGCCTGACTTGCTATTGAAATCCTGTAAAATGGTTAGGATTGTGTTGCAGTTCCTGATGTTCCCTCTAGCAAAGAGAGTGAGATAATCTGCAAAGAAAAGGTGAGAGATCTTAGGGCCAGCTCTGCTTATGCTGATGGGGTGCCACAAGTTTTGGCTGACTGCCTTGTCAATGGCTCTAGATAGCCTTTCCATACAAAGGATGAACAGGTATGGGGACATAGGGTCACCTTGCCTGATGCCTCTTGAAGGGGTTAATTCTTCAGTTTTTCCTCCATTGACCAGGATTTGGATAGAGGAAGTACTGATGCAGGACATTATTAGCTTGGACAGCCCTACAGGGAAATTGAAAGCATGTAGGGTATCTCTAGTGAAGGACCACTCTAGTCTATCAAAAGGCTTTTCAAGGTCAATTTTTAAAATCATGTTGGCACTTTGACCTTTAATTTTCCTAAAGTGGTTCATGTATTCCTGAACTATGATGGTATTATCACAAGCTCTTCTGTTACTTAGAAAGCTAGCCTGACTTGGTCCTATGATGAGGTTCAGGATTGGTTTGATCCTATTAACAATAATCTTTGTCACAGTTTTGTAGATTGTGTTGCAAAGGCCAATAGGTCTGAAGTTTCTTAGCATGGTTGCCTGGGGGCATTTTGGAATAAGACACAGAAGGGTTTTGTTCATTTCTTCAGCCATTGTGCAAGTGCTGAAGCACTTTTTGCAGAATTCTATGACAGAGTCCCCTACAATATCCCAGTACTTTCGGTGGAAGAAGGGGTGGAGCCCATCTGGCCCAGGGGCTTTGAAGGGCTTGTGGGAGAACACAGCTGATTTGATTTCACTCATATGCAGCTGTCTATCCATGAAGGCCTTGTGGCTCTGTTGGAGAATTGGTTCCATTGTGGATTGAGGGGTAGTCTCCCATGTGTTCTCAACTTGTGAGGTTGTGTACAGGTCCTTGAAGAAGGTGACAATGGCCTGTTGGATTTCAGAATGGTTGTGAGTCCAGTTGCCATAATCATCTTTTAAGGAAAGAATTCTGTTTCTCCTCCTTCTATTCAGGGTGGAGCTGTGGAAGAACCTAGTGTTGGCATCTCCCTCATTGAGCCAGTTAATCCTAGACTTCAGCTTCCAGAAGTCTTCCTCATTTTTGAGTATGCTGTTTAGCTCCTCATTGAGGTCATTCTCAAGCTGTAGAAGAAAGCTACTGAATTGGTAGCTAGGGGAATTCTGGATGCCATGAATTCTGGCTACAAGTCTTTTTTTCTTATGGAAAATGTTTCCAAAGACTTGATGGTTCCAAATGGATGCCAGCTCTTGGAACCTGACAGTGGACTGGATTAGAGGAGCTTGACCATCAAAAGCTTGGCTTATTACATTGGGGAAGGAGGGGTGGCTAGCCCACATTGTTTCAAACCTGAAGGGTTTTTTATTTTGGGGTATTTGTGGGCCTTCCATTTGGATTTTTAAAGGACAATGGTCTGAGTGGGTCCTAGTCAGGTGTTGCACAGTTGCCTCAGGATACTGAGAAATCCAAACCTCGTTGGCAAAACACCTATCAATTCTTTCTAGGATTAGGGCATTCCTATTCATGTACCTTTTATTTGTCCATGTGTATTTACTGCCTTTATACCCTAGGTCAATTAACTGGCATGTGTTGATACATTTCCAGAAGTTGTTACTGCGGCTGAGATTAATAGGATTCCCCCCAAATTTATCTCTAGCCTTTAAGACTTCATTGAAGTCACCCCCTACAAACCAGTTATTATTTACAGTTCTGGAGAGAGTTGCTAGTTGTTCCCACAACATATTCCTATCTACAAGCAAAGGGCTAGCATAGATTGCAGAAAAGAGCCAAGGGGTATGGTTTGGTCTTACCTGAACCATTGCATGAATACCTTGAGGTGTGGTGGCCACTTCTTCCACTGCGACTTGGTCTTCTTTCTACATAAAAACTATGCCACCAGCAAGACCTACCGCCGGTGATTGAATGATCATATCAAAGTTGAGGGCACTGGCCAGTGACTGGTGATCTACCATCTTTGTTTCAAGGAGCACCAGCATGGAGGGTTTGTGTAAGTTAACCATTTCAGTGCAGTGCCTTTTGAACTCTGCACTATTCCCACCCCTAACATTCCATATGATGTAATTCATCATTGGAAACGTGGGGGACGGGTGGGCTCCCTCTTGGGAGCTCGGCATGGTGGTCGCTGATGGGGTTTTCCTCTTCAGACTCAGTATTGGTGTAAGATTGATCAAGGGCTTGATTTGGCCCATGGTTTGAGTTGAAACTAGGCCTAGCCCGCACTTGGTCATTGCTTTGGGGCATAGAACCACCACAATCTCGCTCACTTGTAAACTGAACTCTATTGATCTCACCGAATCCAGGACAATCGACTGTGTTCTTGGCGTTTGGTACATCTGCTCCCCCTCCTCCGCTGATTCCTTGTTTCTCAGCAAGTCTAGGGCTTTGGCAACTCCTTGGTGGATGTTTTGGAGGGGTGGAGGTCTGCTCGCTTTCTTTGGGGTAGACACTGATGGAGTCGTTGAGGGCTCGATCTGGGTAGGCAGTCATTTTCATTAAGCTTCAATGGTTAGTTGATTCATTATATTTGTGTCATCTGAAGTTTTTGATGGTTTAGAAAAGTGCTTTAGATCTTCAAGTACTATATTATATGCTCTTCTTCAAAGTTTTCACATTTTATTGATGAAGTTAGTTCTAGATTCGCCAGTTCAAGTATTATCTGAAACTGACAACATGATCATGATCTTGGAATAAAATGATAATTGTTTTCTTCCTGTCTCTCTCTCTCTCTGTATTAGAAGAAGATACAGGGGATCTCATTTACACGGCTGTTGTTCTACTAAAATATCTTTCTTATCTCCGTATCAAAAATCTTCCTGTGTAAGAATAAAAGCTATTTCCCCTCTAACAATATACTGTTGAGCAGGTCTTGGTTGAACCAGGAACACCACAAGGATCTAATATTATATCTCAGATGCGATCTCACATTTTATGGATGGAGAAAAGGGTAAAATTCACTTTTTTGGTTTTGCTTGGATGGAGGGGAAGCGCTAGTTTATTCTAAGTTAGGATGTTTATTCTAAATGATATTTTTCCCTTCGTTTTAAAATTGTAATTTCTAGAGAAGCTGCAAACTAGAAGATGCATCTGGCAAAGAATGTAAAGCATTGACGACGCTAAAGAATGGGGCATATATAGTTGCTCCGGTAAGTGTAAAGTTTCTTGTAAAACTGTCTAAATAGATTTTGCACTACTACTTTTTGATCTCAATGTATTTATTCTTTTGTTTGCAGTGTCCGCATGATGGACGTTGTCCTATGGATAACACTGGAAAATATTGTCATTTTGTTCAACGCTTGCAGAGGACAACATCACAACGTGTGTACAAGGTTTGCCTCATAGTCCTTTTCCCTACAAAATGTGCACTCTGAATTTGATGAAGTCTCTTCTTACTCCCTAGAATCTAGTAATATCCCATAGGGTCAGATATATTCCACTCTTAAGTTCCCGGCTAAGTATTTTTTCTTACTGGTCAATATCGTCATTTCTTTTCTTCTCCTTTTCCTGTGTAAGCTTGCATTTTTTTTCCAATACATGGGTATTAATCTTGCTTCTGATTCCGTTTCTTTCATGGTCTGTTAGCGGTCGAAAGGTGAGCCTCTACGTGGCTTTGAAGATGAAAAGTTTTGCTTTATCGCTTTTAGACGAGGACAACGAAGGCAAGTTCATCATTAAGAATACAGCATGCCAATAGTTAAATTGTTTTTAGCTTGTTATATCATCGGAATTGTGAAATTTCATTATTTTTGTTTCACTGCCTTAAGCTAACCTTTAATCGAACTTATTGTTTGTTTCAAATAGAGAGCCTTGGCCGCTGGATGGCATGAAGTTTGAGACATTGAAAGAGCAGCATGCCAGAAGAAATCCAGAGGATTTAGAGATTGACTATGGTATTTGCTTATCAGTATTTAATCTTAGAATTGCTTTGCCATCTAAAAACTTTTATATTTATCTAGAACCTGCTGTTAACACATTACAAAATAATGACACTTCTCCTTTTATGTCAGAGGACCAGTTCATCTCAGAAGATGAGGATATTCAAGATGAAGATCCAATCTCCTATGATTCCGATGTTACAGAAACAGACGCCATTACTAAAAATGATGATTGGGAGGAAGAAGGCGAAGAAACAGCCCATGCTATCTTGGTAATGGTTGGGGAAGAATCATATACAATCCTCTAAGAAGGGGCAAGCGGGTTGAGATGGACATTTGTCGATCAATGGATCGAGAAGCAACTGAAGGGTTTTTTGACCCGGTTGTTGTGGGGTCCATCCCATTTGGTAATAGGCATGTGCCTATGATTACTTTGGCCCCAAATTTGGAAATGAATGGAGGAGAACTGAAGCTCCTCCTGTAGCATTCTTGGAGGCTACGTATTTTCTCCTATAAAAGGAGAGCTCTTTCACTTCTTTTAAACACACCAACAAAGAGAGAAAGAAAGAGTGAGGCATCACAGACAGGGTATAAGAAGATAGTCTGTGAAGAAAATAGAGAGTGTGAGCGATATTGTAGTGAGGTGGAATATCAAAAGAGGGTTATTTCTTTTGAGTGTTGTAGTGGTTTTCGTAGTATTTTACTCGGGCTTACAAAGTGTAAAATTCCATACTATAGTGATATCAGTTGCTCCTCTCGGGGTCGTGGTTTTTTCCCTTATTCAGAAAGGTTTTCCACGTAAAAATCTTGGTGTCATTGTCACTCTTTTATTCTTGTTGATTACCGTATCTCACTGCTATATTATTATTCTGCTTTTATTACCGTAAATATTATTACTGTGGGGGATTTATTCCCAACAACTGGTATCAGAGCACAGGTTTTGCTCGTTCACAGAAATACTATTCACTATCAGTAGTACTATACTCGGTGAAAAATAAAATGTCCGGAGTAAAGTACGAGGTAGCAAAATTCAACGGAGATAGTGGTTTCTCAACATGGCAAAGAAGGATGAGGGATCTGCTCATTCAACAGGGATTACACAAGGTACTAGATGCTGATGCCAAAAAGCCTGATGCCATGAAAGCTGAGGATTGGGCTGACTTGGATGAAAAGGCTGCTAGTGCAATCAGGTTGCACTTATCAGATGATGTGGTAAATAACATCATTGATGAAGACACCACATGTGGTATTTGGACAAGGTTGGAAAGCCTATACATGTCCAAAACGCGGACAAATAAATTGTACCTAAAGAAGCAGTTATACGCCCTACACATGGGTAAAGGTACGAATTTTTTGTCACATTTAAATGTGTTTAACGGACTAATCACACAGCTTGCCAACCTCGGAGTGAAAATCGAGGAAGAAGATAAAGCCATCTTGTTGTTGAACTCGTTGCCATCTTCGTACGATAATTTGGCAACAACCATCCTGCACGAAAAGACTACCATTGAGTTGAAAGACGTCACATCGGCTCTTCTACTCAATGAGAAGATGAGAAAGAAGCCTGAAAATCAAGGACAGACTCTCATCACAGAAGGTAGAGGCAGGAGTTATCAAAGGATTTCAAGTAATTATGGTAAATATGGAGCTCGCGGGAAGTCCAGGAACCGATCCAAGTCAAAAGCCAGAAATTGCTACAATTGCGATCAACCAGGTCACTTCAAAAGAGACTGCCCAAATCTAAGGAAGGGCAAAGCTGAAAGCAGTGGCCAGAAGAATGACGACAACACAACCGCCATGGTGCAAAATAATGATAATGTTGTTCTCTTCATAAATGACGAAGAGGAATGCATGCACTTGGCAGGTCCAGAGTTGGAATGGGTGGTTGACACAACGGCATCTTACCATGCCACACCGGTAAGAGATCTTTTTTGCAGATATGTAGCAGGTGATTTCGGCACTGTGAGAATGGGTAACACAAGTTACTCAAAGATTGCGGCGATTGGTGATATTTGTATCAAGATAAATGTCGGATGCACATTGGTTCTAAAGGACGTGCGCCATGTACCTGATTTGCGGATGAACTTGATCTCGGGAATTGCTTTGGACCGAGATGGGTACGAAAACTATTTTGCAAATCAAAAGTGGAGACTCGCCAAGGGATCATTGGTGATTGCAAAGGGAGTTGCTCGTGGCACGTTGTACAAGACAAATGCAGAAATATGTCGAGATGAATTGAACGAGGCACAAGATGAGATTTCTGCAGATTTGTGGCACAAAAGAATTGGTTATATGAGCGAGAAGGGATTGCAGATTCTTGCCAGGAAATCACTCATCTCTTTTGCCAAAGGTACAACAGTAAAACCTTGTGACTACTGTTTATTTGGTAAGCAGCATAGAGTCTCATTTCAGACATCGTCTGAAAGAAAATTGAATATGCTTGATTTAGTATATTCTGATGTTTGTGGTCCAATGGAAATTGAATCGATGGGCGGTAACAAATATTTTGTTACTTTTATTGATGATGCTTCACGTAAATTGTGGGTTTATATCTTGAAAACCAAAGATCAGGTGTTTCAAGTTTTCCAGAAGTTTCATGCTCTGGTGGAAAGGGAGACGGGTCGAAAGCTAAAGCGTCTCCGAAGTGACAATGGAGGTGAGTACACTTCAAGGGAATTTGAAGAGTACTGTTCAAGCCATGAGATCAGACATGAAAAGACAGTTCCTAGAACCCCACAGCACAATGGTGTCGCCGAGAGGATGAACTGCACCATTGTTGAGAAGGTGAGAAGCATGCTCAGAATGGCTAAACTGCCTAAGTCATTCTGGGGTGAAGCAGTTCAGACAGCTTGTTACCTGATCAATAGGAGTCCATCAGTTCCATTGGAGTTTGACATCCCAGAGAAAGTTTAGACTAACAAGGAGGTATCCTACTCACATCTAAAGGTGTTCGGTTGCAGAGCTTTTGCACATGTACCAAAGGAGCAGAGAACAAAGCTGGATCATAGATCCGTTCCCTGTATATTCATCGGATACGGAGATGAAGAGTTCGGGTACAGATTGTGGGATCCTGTAAAGAAGAAGGTCATTAGAAGCAGAGATGTAATCTTCCGAGAAAGTGAAGTTAGAGTTGTAGATGATTAATCAGAGAAGACAAAGAATGGCATAATCCCTAACCTTATTACATTCCTTATTCTTCTAACAATCCCACAAGTGCAAAAAGTACGACCGACGAGGTTTCCGAGCAGGAAGAGCAACCTGGTAGGTTACTGAGCAGGGGGAGCAACTTGATGATGATGTCTAGCAAGTGGAGTATCCCGCTCAGGAAGAAGAACAACCTCAACCTCTGAGGAGATCAGAGAGGCCAAGGGTAGAGTCATGCAGGTACCCTTCCACGGAGTATGTCCTCATCAGTGATGAGGGGGAGCTAGAAAGTCTTAAGGAGGTGTTGTCCCATCCAGAAAAGAACCAGTGGATGAAAGCTATGCAAGAAGAGATGGAATCTCTACAGAAAAATGGCACGTACAAGCTGGTTGAACTTCCAAAGGGTAACAGATCACTCAAATGTAAATGAGTCTTTAAACTCGAGAAAGATGGAAATGGCAAGCTAGTTAGATACAAAGCTCGATTGGTGGTTAAAGGCTTCGAACAGAAGAAAGGTATTGATTTTGATGAAATTTTCTCACCTGTTGTCAAAATGACTTCTATTCGTACAATCTTGAGCTTAGCAGCTAGCCTAGATCTTGAAGTGGAGCAGTTGGATGTGAAAACTGCATTTCTTCATGGAGATTTGGAAGAAGAGATCTATATGGAGCAGCCAGAAGGATTTGACGTAGCTGAAAGGAAACACATGGTGTGCAAACTGAATAAGAGTCTTTATGGGTTGAAGCAGGCACCAAGGCAGTGGTACAAGAAGTTTGACTCATTCATGAAAGTCAAACTTACATAAAGACATATTCTGATCCATGTGTATACTTCAAAAGATTTTCTGATAACAACTTTATTATATTATTGTTGTATGTGGATGACATGTTGATTGTAGGACAAGATAAAGAGCTGATTGCAAAGTTGAAGGGAGACTTATCTAAGTCCTTTGACATGAAGGACTTAGGCCCAGCACAACAAATTCTGGGAATAAAGATTGTTCGAGAGCGAACAAGCAGAAAGTTGTGGCTGTCACAGGAGAAGTACATTGAACGTGTACTGGAACACTTCAACATGAAGAATGCTAAGCCAGTCAGCACACCTCTTGCTAGTCATCTGAAGTTGAGCAAGAAGATGTGTCCTACAACAATGGAGGAAAAGGAAAGCATGACCAGAGTTCCTTATTCTTCTGCCGTCGGAAGTTTGATATATGCTATGGTATGCACTAGACCTGATATTGCTCATACAGTTGGTGTTGTCAGCGGGTTTCTTGAAAATCCTGGAAAAGAACACTGGGA